CGATCTTCAGTAGCGCCGGTAATGTTGTCGGCGTGAGGGTGCGTCGTCGCCGCTACGCCATCGTCTTCTTTGAGAACGTGGCGGCAGTGAAGAAGGCCATTGACCTCTTCAACGAGAAGGAGGTGATGGGCAGCGTTGTGTCCGTTGTTCCTGCCAAGACGACTCCGAAGCCTGACCCGCACGAGAACTCTTCTGTTGTGTTCGTCTCGCCCATCTTCCGCGCATCCACGACGAAGCAGCAGATTCGTGAACTCTTCGCCGGCCTGAAGGTGCTGCGCCTGCGCACGTACCGCAACAACTACGCATACGTCTATCTGGACTCGCCCGCCGCCGCACAAAAGGTGGTGAAGGAGAAGAACGGTGCCGAGTTCCGTGGTAAACAGCTTCGCGTTGCCCTGTCGACCCGCTCCCTTGCCAAGGAGAAGGCTCGCGCGGAGCGTGCGAAGCTTCTCATGGACGCCCACAAATTCAACAAGAAGCAGAACCACAAGAAGTGAGAGTAAGGTGTTATTTTTGGTATTTTTTAAAATTTATTTTACGCCCAAGTTTTACGTGTACATTTTCAACCTTTACGCGTATTACATGAACATATATTGTTGTTAGTGGTCTTTTCTTGTATGTGCATGTGTGTGTGTGTGTGCTTTTTTTTTTTCTTTTGCTGGTTGTTGCTGCTAGGTCGGTTGTTGTTTTCTTCTGTGTGTTTTTGGCACTGATATGGTTTTTGTGCAGCTGCGTCAATATAGATCGTGACGGCTTCACACGGCTGTGATGACCCTACAAAGGCTGAGCAGTTTTTTTGGAGAGGCTTCTGGTGTCAACGCTTTTTTGGCCATTGCACCGGTGTCATCTGAGTGTGTTTCTGTGGAGTTGAGGAAACGAGCCCGATTGTTGCATGTAAATCACCAAGAGCCTTACGTTCTTTCCCGGTTGGCGGCGTCTGCGGCGCTGTCATCTACACTGAATGCCTCAATTTTGTTTGTGGGTGCGAGAGAGGAGGCGCGGCAGTACGGCGCCATTCTTTCACTCTCCCATGAGGACACCATTGGTGGTGCTGTAGCGTGGCGCGATAACACGCCGTTTGCCTTTGGCATTGATGTGGTTGATATAAAGCGGCTAGCTTATGTTAGGAGGCGGTTTTCCCACTTTGGTGCGCGTTGGATGCCGCGTTGTCAGCCATCATCTTTGGATGCTGCTGACTTGGCGTACGTCCAGATGACGTACGGCGATTGCATCGATCCGGTGGATGTAGTTTTGGCACAGCACTGGGGTCTTCGCGAGTGCTGCGTTAAGCTTGTCGGTATTGTGGGACGCTCATTCCCATTTGAGTGCTTCCGTGGTCCAGTTGCACTGTTTCCCAAACATTTTGAGGCACACGTTATAGGAAGTGGGGGCGAGGCGCTGCAGTCCGCTGGCCTTCACTCGAACCTTTTCGTCTCTTTGTGGCCGCATGTTCTGCAGCTGCCGTCTGGGGAGCAAAGAGCATTCGTGACCGTTGTGGCTGCTTGTCCCAGAAGCCAGCGACGCTAGTGCCTATTTCATGACTGTTTTGCTTGGCGTAGTTTTCATGAGCGGCGGAAACGTCAATAAGACAATATATAAAGTTAAATAGTTGTAGAGAGCTAGACGGGGAGAAAAAGAAAAATACATGTAATGAAAACCTTGCTTTTGCCCACTCCTTTTTGCAATGACAACGTCTATAGCAAGTTAGCAACACTTCGACCTCGAACTTCGAGTAATAAAACCACAGAGTAATGCCCGCCAAGTCTGCTCCCAAGGCTACTCCGCCCAAGAGCGAGAAGAAGAGTGCTGCCAAGGCCCCTGCACCTAAGACTGAGAAGAAGGCACCCGCTCCCAAGGCACCCGCTCCCAAGGCACCCGCGCCCAAAAGCACCGCTGCTGCGCCCAAGGCTGCCGTGAAGGAGACGAAGCAGCGCACTGATGGCGGCAAGCACCACGGCGTGTACGTGAAGAACTGGGGTCAAGGCTCTGTGGACGACGCCAAAGCGATCTTCAGTAGCGCCGGTAATGTTGTCGGCGTGAGGGTGCGTCGTCGCCGCTACGCCATCGTCTTCTTTGAGAACGTGGCGGCAGTGAAGAAGGCCATTGACCTCTTCAACGAGAAGGAGGTGATGGGCAGCGTTGTGTCCGTTGTTCCTGCCAAGACGACTCCGAAGCCTGACCCGCACGAG